GCCACTGCACCATGGTACCATTCATTCTACAGCACCACAGGAACAGTTTGGATCCACTCTCTTTATAAGCAGGCTTGTCTACAACTATTAAATAGCTGTACGATTGGCCTTCAGTCTTCTCTTCAGTAGATTAGAGTTGTCAATCTCTGTTTTCATAGGTGCTTTAGGTTTCTATTTCTATCTTTTCAGTACTGCTCCATTAGACACTTCCCTATTTACTCCAAGCAGCTTTTTTTTTTTTTTTAATGAAGGAAATTATTTAGTATTTCTATGTTGCTAAACTAGGATATTTTAAGATGTAAGATGAACATATAGTCTAAAGTAAAAGTTCAACTATTAAGATAAAATTCTAGACTTCACAACCACAACATATCATACTATATGTGCAAGGGCTTCTATCACCCTCAGTTACCACAACTTGTCAAAAAGCACAGGCAAAATGGTAAGAGATAAAAGTTGTATTTTTTTCCTCTCTGTTTTCCATTTCTTATGAGCACTGAGATCTCCTATCACAATATTTCAATTTTTTTCTTTTTTGACAATCCAGAGTTCTTGTATTTGTATAACAGATAGTGCTTAAATAACAGATGCATTCACACCTTGGCAACAGATCAAACAGACCTTCAAAGATTTTATCAGCTGCTTATAGACTCACAACTATACCTTGAAGATATGCATTTCTGCATGTCTGAACAAGTTTCTGGACATGGCTGTCTATTACTTTTATTGCCACTAGTGGGAGCAAAACGCAACACTGATTTGAAAAATCAATTTACTCGTTCTTAGAAAACGCTCTCATCCCATAACCACCTCCTACCACACACACACAAAAAAAAAACCTCCAGGTAAGTTGTTAGGAGCTTTTCAAGACTGCCTACATGCTAATACAATATCTTCATATTCCTCAAGAATAGAATACAAGTAAAATAGTAATTTAGCACAGTCTTGAAGTGAGGACAAGCGTACAAAATCCTATTCCAGATGCATGCATCTTCAGAAACATGTATTTCAGACATGAAATTTCTGACAGCATATGTTCTTTCTTCTTGAGAACATGAGAATGAAGTTTTTCTTTCACATCACTTTAAAAGCATGCATGAGGCTGCCACATAATACAGCACTGTTCATCATACTCACGATTCTATGATGCATGCTGTTACAGATACATAGAGCCAATTTGGGGGGAAGAAGAATGTCCAGGTTTGGCTAACCTTGAACATTTCTTAAGACTCGCGATAGGTGAACCGACTAGTAAGCCTTCTGCTAATCTATTACAAAGATAAAGGGCCTCAAACTCAAAATTAAGAGAGAAAAGTATGTGATTTCCTTAAATAGAATGCTTTGTTTTATGAGCACTACACAGATCTTTTGTCTTTGAAACTTCACATATCACAGAATTTACAATCTTACTGTGATCAAAAGATATTTTAACAGATTAATAAAAATTCTCACACAAAACTTAAAATCAAGTTCATAAATGCATCATTTGTATAATCATAAAATGTAACTTAAAGCAAAATAGTATTTCTATTCTCTATAGTTTCCTTAATTATCTAAACTATCTTTTATTCATATATATATAACATAAAGTATAATGAATTACACTTCCTTTTCAAATTTGCCAAAAGTAACAGTTTAAATTCAAACATCACAATACCTTTTTATATCGATGCATCTTTTCTCTTAGAACAAAAACACCAAGGTAATAAACTTAAGTTTCTAATACATTAAAAAAAAAAAAGTGTTTTATCTACAGCTAATGATATTATAAAAAAAAAGACAAAGCTGTAATACAATTTACAAATTCACTGTAGAAAAAAAAAAACAGTCTTACAAAATTCCATTGTCAGACAGTTATTTGAGTTACTCATGCATATTTTCAGCTCAATCTCACAATCTTTTGGAACCAAAGAATACCCCCAAAAAGCTACAGAATATACACAAAGGTGAGATTAAAAGATAAAAACTAAACGCTGGTTAAGTATCACGTATCACTGCAGACCAGACTTAAAATGTTTCCAGCCGTACCCACAAGGGAGCACACTGCAGCCAAATAACAGATCTCATGTGAGAGCTGAATAAAATAAGATACAAATAAATCAGTAACCAGTTCAGACAGGTTTGGTTGTATATGTGCAAGCCAATAAGCAATCACCTTATAAATACTTGCCTTCCACTCAAAGTGGTAAAGTGGTTGCCTTTCAGAGCAGGTTACATGAATTCAGACTTGCACAAATACACTTCAAACTCTCACTGTTTAAAAAATGAATGTGTTTAATTTTAAACTCAACAACTTAAAATTTAGCTATATTTGCTATACGTTTCTCTTATATAATGTTTGGGTAGTTTCAGTTTTTACTCATCACATTTGTGACTTGGTCATGAGGGACACAAACCAATGAGTACCTTTTATTTCAAGAAAAAGCATTTGTTTAGTGCAGTACACAACGAGTCCTGCATGTAGAGCTAAGCGTGTAAGGGTTAAATTCTGTAAATAGATTGGTAGAATTTGCATGTTTGTTTTTGTTTTTAAATAAAGTTCATCAGAAAAATAATCAATTTTGAAACACAAAATACCGCAAATATTTGTTCTGTAAGAATTCTTCACTTTAATCTTGAAAGTCATATGTACTTCAGGATTACAAGAAAACACACCATCAGGCACCTCCTTCCAGTAATAAATCTGCAAATATTTCCCATTACCAAATATGCAATACACAGTAAAACCAAAATGTGCCAGTGTAGTTAATATACAAAGGGCTTCTCTTTCAGCCAACCAGAAAACCTTCCCCCCACTTCCTCTTATATATACCTTATTATTATTAGTCTGCAAAGAGATTGCAGCTCTACAACAACAAAGGAATTAGCTTAGCTGCAATGGACCAGCCTATAATCGAGTGCTCATAGGAGCAGCACAGGATATGCTAAATATCAGCCAATCAGCAAGCAGCTGCCTCAATCCTGCCTGACAACAGGCAGCGGACAAAGAGAAGGTCATGGAAACACACTGGGGGGAAGAAAGCTGAATTCGTGCTCAATGGGCTTTGCATAAGATCATCAGTCTAGAACAGCATTTGCACAAGATTCCTGATTTATGCAGTGCTGGCCAAAAACACTGCAACCATAAAACATTTGCAAAAACACAAAAAATATAAAAAGGAAGTGAAAAGCCTTTGATCAGGAAAAGCAGTGCCTCAATATGCAAGTCTACTTAAAAAGTAGCACAGAAAATGAGTGAAATGGAGACAGCTCATGATCAGGACTACACTGTTCTAGATGGAAGAGTTCGCGAGAATCAAAGCAATGCACAAAACCTACCTCTTAAACAGCAGCTCATAAGAAGCAGTTTTCAGTTGAAATCATCTCTAGCAATATAAGTGAATGCAAGTTGTCATAAATTTAAGAACTATTTTCAAAGAAGAAAAAATAAACTGGTATTTTTCCAGAACATGTGCTGAAATAGAACATCAGTGTTATCTTTTGATGCCGCTAACGCTTGCCTGATTATCACACTGTATGCACAGTATGACACATCCATAAACAGCTGTATCTTAACATATAAAAGACATAATAAACACAGCTGAGGACATACAGTAAGTGAAAGCAGTATTTTTTCTTGCTCACCACAGGTAATGAATTTTTGTGCCTTTTAGGCTAGCATGTGTTGGCTGAACAGAGCTAAAGAAAAATGTGCCATCTTCTGAGAGAAATGACATCACCCCGTGTCCTATTTCACCTACTCTACATACAGCAAGCCGAGTTTCACTTCAATTAAGGCTCTAGCTTATTTCTAGCCGTATTTAGAGAGGGGACTAGCAGTGGCCGTTTTGACACCGAGCAGCGCTTCCCACTGCAGCAGCTGTAGTTTTTCCAGCGCACCGCAGAGGGAGACGCCTGCGCAGCCGCCCTCACCTCCCGCACAGGAAGCCAGGCGGCAGCCTCGGCCCAGCCCGGGGACCGAGCAGCAGCCTCTGATTGGATGGATAGAGCAGCCAATCAGACAGTGGCTCTTCACACTCTACCCAGCAACAAAAGCCCATGAGGCCACGCGCGAGAACTCTAGAATAGAAAACGCTTTGCCAGGTGTGCAAGGCAAAGGGAAGTTAGGGAATTTCTACTTAAGAGCTGGAGTTTAGAACAGCGTTAGCCCTCGAGTGTAGTCAGAGGGTGTTTTTAATGCTTAAGGGCTCTTTAAGTGGATGATGTGGGAAATCACGGAGCACCCAGGCCTGCACACCTGAAACAAATAAGTAATGTCTCTCCTGAGCATGTGCTCATTGACCTACTGCACATTGGGCAACATGTCCATTTTTTCAAACAAGACAGCTGAGTTTCTGATCCAAGTGTTGGATCATAAAACTGCTGGGAACCCATCTGGGCTTAAGCATAGCAGTTTTTAACCTCTCCTCCATTGCTGGACAGTGCTCAGGCAGTTCCTCTAGTATTCCAATAGGAGCATCAAAATGGAGTTCTTCTTTATCACTAACGTGACCTCTGCCTTGGAAGCACTGGGGACTGCGCTTGCACTCTGCCCTTTGAAGAACCAGCTCAGTAAAACATGACGTTCATATTGATTTATGCTTACTCAGAGAAATACCCAAACAAGGCTATGGGTCTGGTAAACCAGAGTAAATCATAGAATGGTTTGGGTTGAAAGGGACATTAGATCATGTAATTCCAACCTCGCTGCTACAGGCAGGGGCACTTCCCTTTAGACCAGGTTGCCCAAAGCCTCTCCCAACCTAGCCTTGAATATTTACTGGGAAGGGACATACACAACTTCTCAGGGCAACCTCTGGACACTGTTCCAGTGTCTCACTACCCTCAAAATAATTTCTTCCTAATATCTAGTTTACATCTAACCTCTTCCAGTTTAAAACCATTTCCCCTCATCCTGTTTCTACATGCTCTTCTAAAAAGTCCCTCCCCAGCTTTCCTGGAGGCCCCCTTCAGGTACTGGAAGACCACTGTAAGGTCTCCTTGGAGCCTTCTCCAGGCTGAAATGCCCCAGCCCTCTTAGCCTGTCCTCACAGGGCAGGTGCTCCAGCCGTCTGAGCATCTTTGTGGCTATCCTCTGGAAATCCACAGATTTTATATACATTATAAAATCCAGTCTAATCCAGTCTTTTTTTCTTTCATAAGTGAATTTTCAAGTGATAATTTGACAGACTAAGGATATGCAACTACATGATGCACCTGGCTTTCAAACGTTTGCAACCTAGCATCAGTCTCATCCTCTGAAATCAGGGCATCATTGTTAAGTGATATCAAAGGTCACTTACCAAATGCCATAAGGGAACTAGCAACAAAAAAAAAGTGATGCTGATTTTAAAAGGCACTAAATGCTTTCCATACATACAAACATTATTTAGAAGTTCTTTGCAAAGACTCTATTTTCTCAGTGGCAAAGAACAACATTATAAAATACACCTAAAAAACGGGCTGGTCAGTTCTTTGCGGGAACTTGCTGGTTATTAAAAAGTATTATCAATATGACCTCTAGGGAAGAAATAGTTTCTCAGTATCTTTTTTTGTTTGTTTGTTTTCTTATTGGACTTATTTAAACCACAGCTTCTACAAACAGAAGTCACTGCTGAACTCTTACATTCATCACATCTAACTGAGGGGAAGAAGTCTTCAAGATGTGAAAGATCCAGCTTCCATAATTTCAGCTAATTAAAACGTGGTAAGGACTTTCTATAATATTTCCATCTGGGGGAGCTGGAAGGCTGCTTGCTCATTTTCACATGGAACGATGGGCTGTCCTTTCAATGCCGGAAGCACCCAGAATGGAACCCCCGCAGCCGCTCTGCTCTACACCAGTTCAGCAAGGAGCAGAGCCTTGCCTTCCTCAGGCTGATGGAAGCTAACAGCAGAAAATTTGCATACCCGCTCGGGATTGGCTGCGGAACAGTCGCTTTGCATCAACCAATCTGTAAGCGTGTAGCTGAGTCACCACCAGGAGGCCTGTGCAAATCTGCCCAGCAACCGGCTGAAAATAGAGCCGGAACCAAGGTATGTCACCAAGACTGGGTGTGACACGATGCCTCCTTGCCTGTGACGTCGTATACATGTAAACACAACGTGCAGAAAGCCTCGTTTCACAGTCATTACACTGCGATGCTACTGTCACAGGGAGACAAATGCGTAAACCTACTGTGAGCACATGAAATAAGGAGGAGACAGTCTTCAAATCTTACGCCTGAAACAGAGACATTAGGTGAGGATATCATACATTTACCCTCTTGGGTTCATGTGTCTTGTTTGTTGATTTTAAATAGAAAATGTTGGTCTAGAAGTACTGCAGTCATTATCTTTTTAAATTAAAACAAAATATTACAGTTTGCATATTTTCTTCTTCTTCTTCTTGAGGGCTTGAGCACCTACCCAATCAGGACAGGCCGAAAGAGCTGGGGCTTTTCAGTCTGGAGAAGAGAAAGTTCTAGGGGACCTTACGGCGGACTTCCAGTACCTGAAGGGGGCCTACAGGAAAGCTGAGGAGGTACGTTTTAGACAGGCATATAGTGACAGGACGAGGGGAAATGACTTTAAACTGAGAGTACATTTAAACTAGATATTAAGAAAAAATTCCTAATTGTGAGGGTGGGAGACACTGGAACAGGTTGCGCAGAGAGGTTATGAATGCCCCTTTCCTGGAAGTGTTCAAGGCCAGGCGGGATGGGCTTTCAACAACCTCATCTGGTGGGAGGTGTCCCTGCCTGTACCAGGGGGGTTGGTCTTAAAGGTCTCTTCTAACCCAAACCATTCTATGATTCTTCATTTTTTTAAAGCAAGCATTAACAGAAACTCATTCTTACTCACTGTGGTTTATATGCCATGTCACTTTGGTGACGTAAATGGAAATTGAGTCATTTACTCCACTGCAGTGGATGTACCTGAATCTTCATCAAATGTGGACTCATACCTCTGAAGTTAGACCTTTGTGGACTCCTGTGCTATCCCTTGGCGTGCCACACATCATGACAGGTATATCACAAAAGTTTATGCTCTCAAACTAAGGACAGTACTGGACTTGGAAAGGTGAGAAGGCTGAACTGAGAAATGAAACTATAAATAGGAATCATCTTGTTAAGAAAAATGAAATACAACATGGGGTTAGTAAAACTCACAAAAAATGCTACCTAAATAAACATCCTACAAGTAACTTAAATGTTGATCAATCTGTAAAACATTGTTTTCTACTCAGGTAACAGGTATAATCTACACAACTCCAGTTTTCAGCACAACTGAGCTGGAAGCATAAACTCAGGAGAACTTCCTGAAGTTTCTGAACTGTCCTATCAACCACATCTGCCTGCAGGTTTCTACTTCATGGAACTGGTTGCTGGCAGGTCAAATGCAACACCTTTAAAGGATTAGAACGCACCCAGTGCAAACACAGCTGCCTCATCGTGGTCTTCTGCAGCCTGAAAGGCACCATCTGACCATATCTGGTACATAAAACCATCTGTATTTTTTACAAGGTTGTAGTAAATAAAGGGACATGGAAGAAAGGTAGCCAGTGCAAACAGTCACATTGACCACTGACAACAGCTGACAGCTTTGGAATGATTCAATGAAATGGAATCACAAAATTAATGAGAAGTCACAAGAAGAAATGAAATAGAATAAATCTTTAAGTTACCAGAAGAAAGAAAAGAGGGAAAAATTAATCACTTTTCATGTAAAAGCAACAAGTTACAAAATCTTTACTATCCTTATCATCTGTTAGAATTATCTGTCACAAGCATCCTGCTTTCAGGAAAGGTCGCTCACTCAGTAGATGTTAGCTGGCCTCTGCTAATAATCTTTACTGGCAGTTGTGACCACAAGACAGTTATTCATTGATCAACAGAAGCTAAACTTTTTCCACAAGCTGAGGAAAGACAGGAACTGAAAAATTAGGCTGTCAGCCTAATAATCTATTCACTACTAGATTCAAGAAGAAAAAAACAAACGTGTTTTCAGTGCTGGTAACCCAGTGCATTAATATGCTAAGAACACCATGTAATGCAGGTAATGGAAGTTTTTTGTAATAAGCAATCACAAAAGTTTCTATGACAATTTCTTGTTATAATAAAGAATGCAATAAAATAAGATTTTATAGTATAAGTATACAGTAATGGATTAAATTCTCTTGTGTCAATGGGCACACAATTATTTTTCTGTATTTGCTGCTAGTCAGAGATTTGTCACATGTCTGAAACTTTAAGAGTTTGGAAGAAGAATTACCCAAGATATTACACAAAGTGCACTTCAAATGTTTTATAATCAAATATATAAGCAATCATAAAATTGATGATTCTTCAACTTAACTCAGAACAAGCTCTGCAGACAAAGATTGTCTGACTTAAATTAATTCTTTGCTAAATTGAACAAGGGACAGGAAGCAGAAAGTAGACAAACACAATGTGTTTGTTTCTTTATGTAATTCAACTAATGGAAACAAGAGGTCAAGCACAATACAACTACTTTCAAAAGGATTTTTAATAGTAAAAAGTATCCTGAAACAGTAGTGATTCTAGCTGCATCCTTCGTTTCTAGAGTTTTCAACCATACCTCTTCTCACCACACTTGCTACACAGTCAGTCTTGCAATCTCATTATATACAATTTATTAGAGTTCTTTTGAGACCAAAAAGTATCTTGCCTTTCATTCTTAATATATAAAATAATCTGATCTCCTAGTACTATCTCCTTGAGACAACTGAAACTCAATGTTAGTACATATAAATTTTGAAATAAGGTTGGTCCTAAGCGGCACAATTGTATGCATCTGCATTGGCAACATTTTACGATTTCTGAGGTGCTGACTTGCATGTAATGCTAATATACTCCTGTCAATTCATTGATATACTCTGAGAAACAAAAACACATGATCAAAAGCAGAGGAGGATGAGATGATTTTCATGGAAAGTTATCACTTGCAGTTGGATGAAAATAATTTCTGATTTGGTTCTTTAAAATATACATGTATTTATTCTTCCTATCCATGTTATTGACTGAACCTTAATAACAAAATTACATCCACCCCACATAAACTGTGTTGGTATTACATTACACAATATTCTATTGTGTATGAAGGATGAAATGAAGCAAGAATATGATGCAAGCACTTGAGATCATGAGGTTGCATATGAACTCAGATTAGGGATTTCAGGCACATTAAAACCTTTTTGATGCTATTTTAACCGAGTGAGTACAAAGCAACCCAGCAAGTAAAAGAAGTCTTAGCCCAGATCAATCGTCTGATGCTATAACCATGAGGCTACTCTTAATTCTTAAGCCAGAACAAGACAGTGAGCAGAAGTGGGAACAGAGAACTGATTTAAGCTGACCTTGTCACATACAAGCTTTTGAACACGGTTTATATTATCTGTACAATAGCACCAAGCTAGGTCAGGAAGCCTAAATCCAGGTATACATTTGGGAGGATCAGTACTTCACTGGCTTCTTGCACTGGCTAACAAAACAATCACAGGAACACCACAGCTGCCAAACTGGAAACATGCAGCAGAACAGCCTTGGGTGTAAATGTATGAGTCAAGGATTACTGTGACGGACAGGGAAAACTTCTTGAGTTTGAAAAAGCACTACAGCTGTCCCATCAAGTCAGCTTCATCTGATTATTTGTGCTTTCTAGGGCCACTGCATGGAGGTTGTTCCCACAAAGAAATATATTTGATTTTAAAATGTTTGCATCTCTGATGTAAAAGCATTGTGTGCAATATTAATTACATATACAATACATAGTTATTTTTTGAAAGCTTCAAAGATGAAGCAGTGTAAATACACAGATCAAAGATGTAACTTCTGGTTTGGATTGTACCAAATTTTACAGCAATAGGTGGGCCCTGAAACACAGAACAGCTTTTACATATATTATTAAAAAAGAAGAGAATATCCGCCTCTGCTCTATTCACAAAACCGAGCTCCTAATGTGAAATTATACTTAAGTATTTCCAGATTTACATATTCAGTTACAAACATCAAATGCTTATTATATTCCATATTATGAATTCAGTACTGTGATTATTATTACATAAAATTTGGAAACCTGTACTATCCTATCCCTTTAAAAATATTTCAGTGAACATCCTGCACTATGCATACACACTTTATTCTCTATTTAAAAAAGCAATGATTTTTGGTAGCTCATATAAATATATGCACAACACTAAGCTCTGTGCCAACTGAACTACTAGTAGTCAAGTACATTTTTACTAAACAAATTACTCTGGTGCTTTAAATTGGGTGATAAGCTTAATCTCATAACATTATTTTTCAGTGGAAATTCTTTACTCACTGATCTGCTTGGATGATTCATTAAGATTTAATGAATTGGTATATATTTTAAACATACAAGGAAAAAAGAATTGAGGAGGAGTATACTTATAGCCATGGCTGGTTTGAATGGCTTTACTTACGTTACTCCAGACAAACTAAGCGTCATCAACACAAACTTGAGTACTGCATCAATAAAAAAAGTCAGACTGCTGAGAAACATCTATGTCCGGTGTGTCAGAGGATCCATAAGAGAATGTAACTATGAAGCTTGTGGTAGCTGAAAACTAATTACATCTGAAATAAGTATCATTTGGAAGATTAATATTATCTGCATTTGATAATCATGAAAATGCTAATTTTTGACAAGGATCAACAGAGTTAGTTTATTCCAAAACTTGAAAGTAGGAGTATAAATTCAGAGAATAAAATTACTTCTAGCATTTATAATTTCTGAAATAATTGGGGAAAAAAAAAACAGAAAAAAACAACCTGGGTCAAGGGATCCCCCGTTACCAATACAGAGGATGAAATGACTGAAGGCAGCCCTGCCAAAAAAAAACCCGGAGGTACTGGTGGATGGAAAGCTGGACATGAGCCAGCCATGTATGCCCAGAAAGTCAACCGTATCCTGGGCTGCATCAAAACATGCGTGACCGGCAGGTCAATGGAGGTGATCCTGCCCCTGATCTCTGCACTAGTGAGGTCTCACCAGAAGTACTGAGTCCAGATGTGGAGTCCGCAGTACAGAATAGACATGGACCTGTTGAAGCACATCCAGAGAAAAATGAAACACCTCTCCTATGAGGACAGGGTAAGAGAGCTGGGTTCTTCAGTCTGGAGAAGAGAAGGCTGTGATGTGACCTGATAAGCGGCCTTTCAGTATCTAAAGGGAAGCTACAGGGACAGACTCTTGAGCAGGGTCTGTGGTGATAGAACAAGGGGAAATGGCTTCAAGTTCAGGGCGGATAGATTAAGGTTAAATATGAGGAAAAAATCTTTTACAGTGAGGCTGGTGAAGCACTGGAACAGGTTACCTAGTGTTGTGGTTGATGCTGCATCCCCAGAGACTTTCAAAGTGAGGCTGGTTAAGGCCCTGGGCAACCTGTCTTGTCCCTGTTCATTGCAGGGGAGTTGGACTAGATGGCCTTCAGAAGTTCCTTCCAACTCTAAGGATTCTATGATTCTTGAACAAGCTAACCTAAGTGCACCAGCAAGGACTGCATTTGGCTACACTCCTGTGCCATTTGTTGATTTGTAAACATTTGTGAGATTGTAGCTACATACAATAGAAGATTAGTGATGAACAAAATCTCTCCAGAACATTTTAATGTCTGCTGGAGTTTTAACTTCTGCAGAAGGTGTGTCCCTACAGCTACAGCCTTTTTTTTGAGCCTAGATCCTAGACTACTCTACAATGATGAAAGATTCCTAATTATTCTACATGGCAATCGGTAATATTAACATGTCAAATCTGTTTATATTTGCAACTCTTTCAGAAGGATCAAGCTAACTTCCAATTGAAAGGAAAACTGACACCCCACCAAACTACACTAAATGCATAAAATTCAAAAAGGTAATAATGTGGTCATCACTACATTTCTAGACAAGTTTCTCATAGAGTAAAACCTGTCATAGAAAGTACCTGAAGAAATGATGTCCATTTTTTCCCATTATACATCTAGGTAACTAAATAGCCTTTTATCCTTCAAACAAAATTTGTATTTAGCAGAATGGAAAGAAATCTGTGCAAGTGTGACAACACTCAGATTTAATTTTCACTACTTGCAGCATCTTCTCTGGGACAAGTCAGTGCTAAGTAGTTCCAAAGAGGATCAGTATGAAGATGACTGTGATGACTCTGAAAGATGTAACGCAATCATGGACACTTCCATTCTTTGGTACCAGCCACAATACTAAATAGATAAATAGATAAATAAATGGCAAAATGAAAGCACTTTACTTCTGTTGATAGCACTGCAGGCTAGTTTTAATAGGTCTCTATGAGTAAGAAAAAAAACAAGATGACGACAGAAAAAACATGCATACACACAAAATCAGCAAGCTTTTTCTATACATTTTCATATGAAAAAAAGTAACAATAACAAAGAGAATATAAGAGATTCTTCCAGATTTGTGTAAGCTTGTATTAAGTAAGGAAGCCATAGTTGCAGAACTGAGAAGATACTTATCAAGCTAAATGATTTTCTATCAATAAGCTAAGCTATGTAAAACAAACAAAAGATAGTCCTCTATTATAAACTTATATATACGTATGTACCTATCACATAAAGTAACATCATATATCATTATATTTTCTTATATATTTTGTTTATATATGCTTAGAGAACATATGATCAACTGGCTTATTATTATTTCTGATTCTAATAATTAAATTAAGAACTATGGAAAATAAAATTTTCATACATATTTTCTAATGTAATTCTTGTCTAAGTAGAAAAATACTTATGCACAATACAAGATCAGAGTGAGATAAAGCTTATCTTTAGTCATCTTCCTTCTGAAAAAGAAAGTCTGCTTCTTTGGTATCTCTATTCAGATACGCTAAAAAAATTGATATGCTTGAAGTTGAGATTTCTGCTTCTGAGACATAACATGTAATTTATATGATACAAGACAGAGACTTGTATCAAATCTGATATATGAATTCCAGATATTTATCTTGCACTTCTTTAACTGATAAAATTAAAGGTTCAATTTATATAATCATCCTCAATTCATTTTCTGACTGTTGACCATTCTGACACAGTGAGATAAACAATTCATTCAGTGAATGCTGTGGATAAAATAAAAAAATAAGGAAGTATATACTTAAAGAGACACTGCAAGGAATGCTAAATTTAACAGGACCTTAAATTCTTCAAGTTGTCTGACATACTTCAGATGCAAATAAAAACAGTCATTTTAAAACACAAGGGTGAAACATAAGTAATGAAAAGACAGGGTCTACCTTACAATTTGTTTTTAATTAGGAATCTAGACAAAGTGGGTAACAACTAAATTTACCAGGCAAGGTAGCAAGAACAGAGAGAAGAGACTTTGAGAGTAAAACCACAAATTCAAACCACAGGATTGTGACCTTATTATCTGTCTAGATTTACTCTGCTCTTGGGAGACATACACTCCATGTATGAAATTGAGAAGATTCTACAAATGCTATACATAAGCCTATAAGCAGTTTCAATCTTGCTAAAAAAGGACTGACAATCAACCTTCAGCGACTTCACCAATACACAGTCATCAAACAGGTGATTCCACAGTGGCTGGAAAATAAACTGCAAAAATCCATGCAGAGAATTTATACTGGCAAATAAGATTGCTGTGAGGTAACTGTTATTGTGATTGACTGCCTACACAGATTGCCATCTAACATACAGGGGCTCACTAAAAAAACTGCTTTGCAGTACAACAGCCTGTACCCCACGTGGTACCTGGCATACATTGAATACAGTTATAGTCTTCAAAAAAAGGCAGTGAGGCTTTTAGTACTCCAGCAGAATTAGCACCACCGCTGCTCTGCGGCACAATCTTAAGTAGCATAGACAATACATTTACACAAAGACCCACTCTGATAAACTTCCTCCTAACATTCTTAAGTAGCATGTGAGCATTAAGAAGCATTCCAGATTGCCTTATAATATGGGTGCTATTACATGACCTATATGCTGTATCACATCTCTTTGGGTTGATTAAGTATTAAGGAAGGGAGAGAGGAAGGTATGAATTTGTAATAATTAGGGGTAGACTTCTGGAATGAGAACAATGAATAGTTATACTTTTATGAATACTCAGTAAGTGAAATCAGACATGCACTACAGGTAGTAGCTCTTCAAATCATTGCTAGAAATTCATCAGGGACAAAAAGCAACATGTAACACATTTGAAGTGGAAAACAATGAACCTGACTAATGTTGCACAGACGTCTCAAGGATGCAGAGTAATAAAATTTTACTTAAAAGCAATGCAGCTGTTGCAATGGTCTCGTCTTGTGAAATGAGACAATTGGAGAGTTTTAAATCCCTATCAGAAATAAAAGCTTTGGAAGATTTCAGAGCAGTATCAAATTGACAAAGGAAAAACTGCAGTGAAATAGAATTGTTTTTTGTTTTTTAATTCTTGCATAAGTCCATCTAGTTGAGGGCTTTCTGATTTACAGTAGAACTTTCTGAGAGATACTGCCAGACCGTATCAAAGATGGAAAAATTAGGAGCAAACTGAGTTTGTCTATGCAGAAACTGCATCAACTACTCTATTATAACTTTTCTTTTGTCTTATGATTTTCTCTGTCACAAGAGATATATGTGAACCGGAGCCTTTAAGGAAAGATGTTTTAAAAATATTGCTAGATACCACCTGCTAAGAAAATACCAATCTGAAGACACTGACTTGCTTCAGAATCCAGACATAACAGCTCTCTGGAAGAACAAAGACTCGCTTCTTCCATTTCTTTGAATCTATAAGACTCTGGTGTTATGTTGTCAGTACCTGATCACTCACGTGAAGGTAGAATTACATGGCAGATCAATTTGATTGCTTTACTTCCCAGGACATTTTTAAGCATTTTCAAGGAAAAAAAAAATTCCATGACTTTAAAAAATGATGGAAGTAGGAAGTATCCTTCCCAAACACCTTGACAATTGATAGATATTACATGCATCATTTTTTCACTCTTGGCCAGAGACGGTCTGACATTATGCTCACCCTTTACATATTCTAATAGTGTCCCTGGTCTACCTACAGTCTACTCTAGAAATTTATGCATGTAGGTACTTCTGCAAAGTAATCCTAAAGTCCTGTAATCTCCTCCAGCTGTACTGAATTAGTCCAAGAAATTAGAAGTATACTTCTGGTAGTATCACAATTAAAAAGCTCTTCAAGCTAGTCATTTTTCTTGTAAATTCTTACTGGCATGGATTCCCTTGAAGACTGGATTTCTGTCACTAGTAAGACATAAAGGACATTCAAATCCTTCAAAGAAAGCTGGTCACTTACAAGAATGATGCCACTTGGATTATTCATAAAGACTAGCGATTGCAGAGTTAACACACATTTTCTGCTGAGGGCTTTCAATTTTTGTGTTGTGGGAAGATCAAATACTAACATACACAAGTGTAGTAAAACAGTTCAAGAAACCTGAATTACGTTCTGTTAATTACAGACTTATAGCTGAAATTACAAAGGAATATGAATTTATATGTATTGAACAAGTATACACACATTAAATATACATAATGTGTGCGCACATGTATTCTAAATGCATATTTTCTGCTAGATCAAGAACAAAACTCACCTTTGTGTTTCTGCAGTACACTAGAGATATATCTTTGAGAAAGTTATATGCAGTGTGTACTACTGACACAGTCTTACTGAACACAGTTTGGTGTAGGTATTCTCAGAAAGAATTTTAAAATAAAATGGAAGAACACAAAGGTGTACTTCCTGACAAATAAAGACACCTTCACCTTTTAGATGAAGGTACTTTAAACCTCAAATGAGATCAAGGTCAAGAAAGAATTCTGGAAGTGTAAGTTGTCTGTTGAATTCAGAGGCTCTCCACTAAGGATCCCAGTGACACAATTATGCGAGCTGTATAATAAATACTCTGGAAGGCACCACTCACGGTAAATTTAAAACAATAGTTTTTGGAGTTGGTTTTTTGTTTTTTCCCCTCCTATGGAATATTCTTTTCAAAAATGGCTATGAATCCCAGTTTGCAGTCATTCACAACCATCAACCATGCACAATATCTGGCAGTATCTTGT